TGTCTGTGTGTCTTAAAATATTAATAACTTGTTCTTTTATTTTTCCTACTTTATACCTGTGTACACAGTAGTGGACACTGTTACTGATTTTAGTAGCCTAGAAACAAGCTAAATCATCTTTGAATGCCTGAATATCTTCTTAACTTTTGGATTGAATCCCATGTGTTTTATTATGACAGTAGTAATGCATTACTCTTAATTTATCTCATTCAAGTACTTTTTAACATTGTCTGTGTGCCTAGTAATAAATGAGGCACAAACAACACAGAAATGCTCCACAGGAATCTGAGAATATCATTCTTGTTTTGTTTTTCTTGTCTTTATTTGTTTTGTTTTGGGGGCTGGGAATCAAACTCAGGACCTCACACTTGCCAGGCATTTGCTGTGCCACTGAGCTGTATCCCTGGCCCTTGAGAATATTATCATTCTAGCGTGGCAGGCAAACTCATGCAACTAAATCTATAGAATAACAGAGAATGGTTTTTATGCCATGTTCTAAAGAATATGTCATGGGTAAAAATATAGAGTCTTCCATTTAGTAGGAAATTTTTTTTAAAAATTCTATTGCTTTAGAAAGGTCTAAGATGGAAATAGACTTGGTTTTAGTAAGACTTTTATGAAACAAAGCAAATTGTTTTTGCTTTGAGGTGTAATAAGTTTTAGTTGGAAATTGTCAAAAAGAAACTTATTTGTCAAATATAATTAGTTATATTATTATTAAATTAAAACAATTTTATAAAAATGATCAAATAGAATCTTATAAATAACTCTTTAATTCATCAAGTAAATTGGAATGATAGTCCATATTGTTTTCTATCAAATTAAAATCACTTTTCTGTTTACATAAAAACAAACTGCTCATGCAATTGTGAAATATCACTTAAAAGATTTAATTTTTTTCTAGCATCTAGAACAAATCTAGGGGTTATTCCTTGGTCCTTTTGTATTTTGAGAACATACTCTTTAGTATCTCATACTACATGCTTTAGTAAAAAACACTATGACTGACTTATAAAGGTTGTGGCTCATTTGCACATTTTGAGTTTACCTGGTAGAATTTAAAGAAGCACCCTTATCCTGCCACTACTTTCTGGAAGAGAGCCAGAGAAAGCACTCAGTGTTCACTAGAAAATTCTCATATAGTTAAATTGTACAGCTTAATCAGTGTCTGCGGCCATCATACTCATAGGAATAAATTATCTTCTTTCTTCTCACTTTTGCATAGGTAGAGCATATCTTTTCATGGTTTTATAAATAATTTATCCATGTAGTAAGGAGGTGTGTTAATTGGTCTTCATGAAGTTTATGATATATTTGTCTAGTTTAATTCCTGGAAGGTAGGAAGATGAAGCAATTGTTCAAGAGAAACTTAATAAGTGAAACTCAGAATCAGAACCAGAAACGTCTTCTAGTTCTTTGATTGCATGTCTAGATCGTTCTTTAACTGGGAGGAATTGATGGTTTTAAATGTACGTACTGGTTTTTTTCTTTTCTTTTCAGTTCTATTTTATTTTAAAGAGGGAAACCCCCCAAACTTTCAAAGTACAATAATTAGGGGGTAACATGGTATATACATTGCTTATTGTTATCTTCAAAGCAGTTAATCAAAGTATAAAACATCTGCATTTAATCGTCCTAACAGTACTGAGTTCATTGAAGAAAAGGGTTTGTACGTACTGTTTTACTATCAAAAATTATTTTTTTTTTTTTTTTTTTTTTTTTTTTAATTTTTATTTAAGGAGAAAAGAAAAGAAAAAAAAACAGTGAAGGGTACAAGTTATACAGATTTACAGAAGAAAAAAAATGCGCAGTAGGAAATCACTAGTTAATAGATTACATATTGCCATCTTAGAAATAATTGTTCAAGTCACAGAATTAAAGTTTGTAGAGTGGACATTCCAGCAATGATACTGCAAACAGTTCTGTTCAATGATCCATTAGAACTCTGTGATATCATTTTCTGTCTTATACATTTAAATATACATGCAGTTATATAGTTTAGAGCATTTTCTTTTCCTCTCTTTTGTACAGTGACTATTACACATTTTGGGTTTCATTGCTCCCACTGTTCTTATTGCTTTTTTGGAAGAGAGTAAAACCAAATGTGACATGACAGAACAGAATCGGTCAAGTCAAAAGGGTGGATATAATAGATAATATAAAAACATAATACAAGGTGATCAACAATGGTTACCCTAATGCCTCCCGCTATTTCTAATAGAATTGCCTATATCGTTAGTTGTAATACTATTGAACAAAACCGTAAAGGATAAAACCGACAAAACCAAAACATTGGAGATATTGTAGGTCTTCAAAAGTAGATAGAAGTCAACGAGAATGGGCGTTATAATGAATCTCATTATCTTCTCAGCTGATGCCTAAACTTTCGAACCTGATACTATTCAGCAAAACAGAATAGAGGAACCTCAGTCAAAAACAAGATGGTGAGAGTAATACAGGGCTTCAAATCGAGAAAATAGAAAGTCAAAGTGGGTTACTATATTATATCCTGCTATATTTTTCCCTTTAATTAAATGGATAACAATAAAAAAGTATATAATGGAGTGGAGATTGAGAAAAAGAAAAAGAGGGCATAACAGCGAAACAGGGCAGATCAAAACATAACCTTTTAAGCAGAATAGTGTTTCACCACCAGATATTTCCGACTTAAAAATAATTACCATATTGACTCCCTCCCTGAAGTCCTTGAGTACAACTTCATATACTGTAGCATTAAGTATATCAAAACAATGTAAAACCATTTAAGAGAATGACAGCATTATAGAGTATTTGGAATTGACTAACAGAAAATGAACAATGGTCTCTGTATAATCTCCTTGTCTTTAAAAGGTTTTTGCTTATACTAACGTACATAACAAAATCCAATAAGATACAACCTGGTTAGACCATTGGAGACAGAAGAACAAAAGCTAGATGAGACTTCAAAACAAGATGGTACTGAATCAGCATTACCTATTAAGATGTCATTTTCTCAAAAATAGCTGTTCCTATCATCCAATCTTCTCTGTCTCATTTCTGTTGAGCTCTTTTTCTGTCAGTAGCTGTCAGTTTGTCTTCTTCATTTTGTTCTCTGCTCCATTCGTTGTGGCCTCCCTGCCACTATTTCTGGGTTCTTTGTATTTTTCTTTTTTTAGGATATCCTGCAATACTTTCTGTAGAGTTGAATTGGTGGTTGCAAATTCCCCCAGTTCCTCTTTATCCTGGAAGCACCTCGTTTTTCCATCAATTTCCAGGGACAGTTGTGCAGGATATCTCAATCTTGGCTGGAGATTATTATCTTTCAAAGCTTGAATTATTTCCCCCCACGCTCTTCGTGATTTGATGGTTTGTGAAGAGAAATCTGCTGTAATTCTTATGGGTGTTCCTTTGTAAGTGATCTGTTTCTTGTCTCTTACAGCTTTTAATATTCTGTTCTTGTATTGAATTTCTGGGATTTTTATTATTATATGCCTGGGTGTTTCTCTGTTAGGGTTGTAGGTAGCTGGGGTCCTGTATGCCTCATACAGCTGAGTATCTTTACCTTTTGCTAAATTAGGAAAATTCTCCTGGATTATTTCTGTGAGTAGCTTTTGTAATTCATTTGTTTGTGTCCCTACTTCTTCTTCTATGTTCTTAATCCTTAAGTGGTGGCTCCTCTTATCATCTTCTTGTCTTTGTATTATTGCTGTTTGTTTCTTTGTTATTTTTAAGAAGTTTTTCATTTCATTCTCCCATATTTCAAGTCTGCCCTCCAGTTCAGATAGTCTGTCCTTAGTTTCTTTCAAGCTGTTATGCCAGTCTTGTATAGACTTATTAATTTCTTGATAGTCCCTTTGAACCTGCTTCACATACTCAATGCTTTCTCTGTTTTCTCCAACAAGCAATTCTCCCCTCTTTTTCTGTTCTTCCATTCCACCATCTGTTTTTTCCTGGGTGGTGTTTAGCATTTCTCTAACTATTCTGCATACTTCTAGCTTCAGATCATTGATAACTTCATTCCTGAATTGGTCTATGAGGCTCTCAATATGGTGCTTAATGTATACTGGTGCGGCGTCCATTATTGCCTGTTTCTCAGGATTGGGGGCCGAGGAGCTTTTTTTGTTGCTTCCCTTCCCCATATTTTTTGTTCCTTATAAAATGCAATCTTACAAAGGAGGCCCGGCTTCCCTGCCTGTCAGCCACAGCCTGATCAAATTGCGCTGGCTAGTTGTTCCCGCCCACCGCTGCGCACCAGGGAGTCGGAGGAGGCAGCCTACGCGGAAGTCAGTCGCTCCTCCGGGCCATCGTCCGGCTCTGGGATCTGGGTTAGGCTAGTCTAGCCTAGAGAGTCCGCCAGCAGCGTCACTCAGGCCAGGCACTTTTCTCCAATCCCGTCCGAGAGGGGAATGGCGCCCAGAGAGATCTCCGCTAGAGTCAAACTGTGGTGGGGGGTCAGATTCTCACTCACCTCGCCACCAGTCAGTTTTCGTGTACACCTCTGTCCGTCCTTTTTTTTTTTTCGACTCCGTTCTCCCGTTCCCAGAGCTCGGCGCTCCCAGAGCTCGGCGCGTCTCTCCTTGCTGAGCCGCTGTGGAGATAGCCGGCCGCCGCACGGCGGGAAATCCAAACCGGTTTCCGATGGCGCGGAGTCGAGCCTCCGCACCGAGATTTTTCTGTTCCTATTTTAGCGCCAGGACTGTATTCCAAGTTGGATTCTCTCAGCCCAGTTCGTTCCTGAGTCAGCAGAGCATATCTCTACTGATTCGTGTCTCCCTAGTCCGCATTATTTCTGGCCTCTGAGCCGAACCTTTCAGAGAGCCTCTGGTAGTTGCTGTTGTCTGTCCGCCATGTTCTCTGGTCTCTACTATCAAAAATTATAAGGCACAGGACAATAAAAATTTTAGTCATTAGTACTTCTGTGTATTTAGTATTCGGCCTGACCTTTTCTCCCCTTCCTCTTCTCTACTCCGAGCCTGCCTTCCCTTCCTTCTTTTGTTCTTTCGCTTTTTTCTGTTATTTAGATCCCTCAAGACCCACTGAAGTTTTATAAGAAGATTTACTTTTGCCGCAGTTGCCAGCTGTACCTGCCTTCTACAGAATTTGCTGTGTCCGCGACCTCACGCCACGTGTACAAGTGTCGTAGCTGCGTTAACCTTGAGAATGAGGCAAGACGACGAGAGTCATTTTTGAAATATAAATGCTTACTTCGGCGGCTCTACTCTTCAGAAGCCAATTACGACGACGATGCTCAAATCGCGTTCTTGATGCAGGTATGATCAGTAAGGGGTGCCAGTGCCTAAAATTTGTCTTCGAAGGATTGTCCTCTAAGGAGCTGTAGTGACATAAAGTGTAGTGTGTGGTTGAACACATTCTTCTTGCGTTTCCTGATGTAGACAATGATTGTATTCCTGATTTTTACATGCAGACACTTTTTTGGTAATTAAATGCTATTCTACATTCTAAGTATGCACTTGTGAATCAGACCTTACAGTTTAGTAGGCAGACATTAAAATTATTATAAAATTCTGTAGCAACAATTACTAGTACTACAGGAGGACAGACCAAGTACTGTAAGGTATTAAAATGATGCTACATTATTTGTGGGTCAGCAGAGGCTCCTTTGAGGATATGACCTAAAGATGAGACAGAAGAGTGAACAGGAGTTAACCTGGTGACTTTGATAAAGCATCAAGGGCCAGGGAATAGCGTGCGTGAAGACTTAGAGGCAGAAGTGACACTGTTGTGTTGCAGCAGAGGTGATATACAGTGTGGGAATCTAATTTTTAGACTGGAAAAATGGGATACATTTAACACTGTTAAAAACAACAACAACAACAAACAATCCAGTCAGGGGAAGAGACTGAAGCACAGGAGCAGAACGTTGGAGCCAACATTACATATGACAGCTCTGTCTGTGAACATGTGACATGCCAAAGTTGTATGTACTTCAATCTACCTGTCTCTGAAATGGGAATATCTACAGTATCTACTCACAGAGAAATGATATGAACATTAAATTAATTATTGATTTTAGAGAAGGATATGTCTTTACACAATTATTTAAATGGCACGAACAAAGGGATACTAGAGGATATGATCTGAAGCATGATGTGTGAATTGCCCTTGGTTAAGAGGAGGATTACCTCTTTATTGAAATTAAAGTGGAAATAATCATTTCACATCCTATGGGTTGCCTTCTGATGCTATTTCCATTTGTTGAGAGATACTATAAAGGAGAGAATTATGAAATGCGTAGAATATTTGATAGTGAAATTTCAGTCATTGCAGCCAGAGGGGAAAAGAACTGTGAAAAACAAAACCTAAATTGAATTAAGATGCATGTCAAGAACTTTTGATGACTTCCCTGTTACTCAGACAAAATGCCCAATACTTACAGTTTAAAGGATGAAAAATTTATTTTGGCTCAGGGCTTTAGTGAATAGTTTTGTGGATCCAAGGCAGAAACAGCATGGCAGAACAGCATGGTTAGAGAGAAGTTGTTCATGGGATGGTGGTCAGGAAGAGAGAGAAGAGAGGAGTGAAAGATAAGAATGAACCCTTTAAAGTCACACTTCCTGCGACCTGCCCTTTCTGACCCTCTAAATGCAAAGTTTTGGGGGGACATTTTATACCTAAACCATAACAATGAGAAGTTAAGGTGAGTGACCATGACTTTATGTGGTACCAGAATGGGAAGTGTAAGATTTTCTTTAGCAAGGTGAGCACAGGAAGAATGTGGAGCATAGACATCATGAGTTACTTGTTTTACAAGAAAAAGACAAGAAACAAAGGAATGTTAGGCTATTAGTAAGATTATAATTGAAAGGATAGAATGTATAATATAGGTTGTGACAAGGAAGATAAAATAGGAAAAATAGTAATTAATGCAAAACATAAAAATTAACACTAAAGCTGATAATTCCAATGAAGCGAGGGAATTACCGCCTCATGGTTTATCACCATACAAGTTGGAGGAGATTGTTACAGTCAGACTGAAATGTCTGAATGGTAGATTGCAGATGGGAGGAGGCTGAATGGTGAGAAATGTGAGCTCTGATTTTGAAAAAGGGCAGCTGAAGGAGGGAAGCAAAGGCTGTTCATAGTGGAGTGGGAAAGGCTGGTTAATGACAGTAGTTGTAGAGGACACAGCGAAAGCCACAGAGAGGGAAGTAGAGGTAGGAATATAATTAGGTGAGTGGGAAGCAGGGGCTACAAAGATGACTGGCGAAGTAATGAATGACCTCTCTGGCTCATGCAGAGGTCCTCAGAAACAGAGGTAGAGTGAATACAGGTAGTTTATGGTGTCAAGGTGAATCCTGAGAGTGATCTGCTGTTGTGTGGGAATTTAAATTCTATTCCTATTGATGTTCAGAGAGTCTGAGGAATAGATTAAGAAATCTCATTTTAGAAAGTAAAGCTGATATCATGGTGTCACTGAGATCAAAGGGGCTGCCCCACACCTTCTGCTAGCCTTTCTTGGCTCTTAAAGACAGATAAGGACTAGACATTTACACTTTGACACGTCTATCAAGACTCCTTGCAATTCTTTTTGAAGTATATTCTAGATGATACTAAATAATAATAGAATATTATTTCGACTGATTTTTTTTCTGCCTCCAACTTGACAAGACTTCTGTTCAATTTTAAAATATGAAAATGGTTTGAAATTTTCCAAGATGGAGGAAGGAACAATGAGAAATTGTCCGATAACCAACTGCCTTAAAGAGGGGCAGAGGAGATGTAAGAGGAGGCCCATTTTATCTTTTTTCTTAACTTTCCCTGAGCTAAAACTGTGGGTGCTAATAGTATCCAGTCACAAATTTTGCTTCTTTCAGAAAAAGATAGGAGTAAGATTTTAAAAATATTCTTTAGCGGAATATTATTCAACTCAATTAATATTTCTTAGTAGAAACATTAACATGGCAAAAAAGCACATATATGTTCCTTATAAAAAAGGGTAGTCTTTTCTCATCCCACTTGTATATTATCATTTGAGGCTGGTGTTCAGTTTCCGGTATTATTTATTCTGTGTTCCTCCAAAGAGAAAGAAAATTGAGCGTACATGCAATGTGCTTAAATCTCCCCACACCAGTATGATTACCAGAACCTATTTTGTGAAAGTGGGCAAGCTCCGAACATCAACAACTTACTAATAAAAACAACCCATAAAGAACTTTTGATCTCAATAATGATACTGGCATTCACACACTATTAAATAGGTCAGGTTTTTTGTAATTAAAGTTATTAATTAAAATAAACAAAATTGAATGTAATAATAAATGCAAAATACTGTGAATAAAAAAAAAACTTGAGGTGTTTAAAAAGTTTCCAAATGTAATGCATTGTGTTAAACAAAGTCTCTAAATATTTTAATCATGATCTATATAATAATATGTGCTTTTATCAAAAGTTAGCATAGGTATGCATGACACTATTAATAATAATAGCCAACATTCAGATAGTGCTTACATGGCTTTGTGCACTCCATGTGTTAATTCATCCAACATTGTAATCCTATGAAAATAAGAATTATTTTCATTCTACAGATGAAGAAATTTAAGCTTTGAAAAGTTAACTAACTTTCCAAAATTTATACTAGTTAACATCACCACTGGAATTCAAAACTAGATAGTCTAGTATTGGCCCAAAGACAAAATTTTCCCAAAGTTACGTTTACTTTTACTAATATAAATGCCCTTAAATATTTTCTGTTCTGTCTGAATCTCCTCATTCTAATCTTTCTTTGAAGAATTTGGCATCACCCAGGAGGTAACAACCCACAGTTTGAAAACTACAGATCAAAAGTGATTAAATATCTTTCACTGGAATGAGCACTTTATTAATAAAGATGATGTTTATGTTAGAGTTGAAATTTTTAAGTGCTTTTCTTCAAGAATTGTTAATATGACAGATGAATATGTCCTTTGTGAGAATTATAGAGACCTTAAATTAACTCATCACTTGAATATTCAATATTGTATTAGGGTTAATTATTGAGAATTCATGTCTGTGATGAATGGATATATTATGAAGAACAGGCTTGCATGACTTTGGAGCTTGGCAACTCCTAGTTCTGCAAAGCCAGTGCCCGGTTCTGACCTGGAGACCAGCAGGCTGTGTTGAGTGAGGAAAGATAGATGTCTTAATTCACAGGTCATTAGGCAGCAGAGTTCATCTTTCCTTGAAGGGAGACTCAAGCTTTTATTCTATCCCACACTTTTACAATTGGATGAAGCCCACCCATGTGTGGAGGGTAATCTGCTGTACCCACTCTGTCCACCAGTTTAAATGTTATTTTAATCCAAGGATACTTCTACAAAAACACTCAGGATATCATTTGGTTGAATATCTGGAAATCCTTAGGCTAGTCAAGTTAACAAGAAACTAGTCACCACATATACTGAATGAAAACATACCAGGACAGTGTTTTTACCTGTCCGATAAGATTAGTATCTGATACTGTGCCTGTGTTGGATTTTGGCCCTCTTATCTTGCTTCTCTAGTGTCTTGGATAAGTAGGCACATAAGTGCCCAATAGCTTTCCTTCCTGTAATTAATATAATTTTGATTAATATATATTTTAGTAATATCATCAGGCATAATTTAAGTATTTGAACTTTCTCATGAAATAGGAAAACTTACTGGGAATGGTTAAAAACTTAATAGTGTTTGAACATGATGAAGAGATTTTGAATAGTCATCTGGTTTACCTGAAATCCATTCAGATACTACAGAATGAGCATCTATTTCTCATTATTGAGCAATTTCAAATATAATGCTTACTGCACATCAGAGCATGTTTGTTACCAACCATGCTTGTCATGTGCACATTTGACATATACATGCAAATATCTCATTCTATTTTTAACATTCTTAAAATTATTATTACAATTGATGCAATTTACAATAAAGAGTGTGAATGAGATTCACATTTTGAATATAAGTAAAAATAAATGAAACATTACATTTTAATATCCTATGAATTATTTTGCATAGCAGCTGTTATGGTATTTTTTCTTGCATTAAATGAAAGCTAGGCTTCATTAACTGAACTTAACATGTTGAATTATCCATTTATGAAACACCATAGTAGATTATGGTGACAAGCTTTTTGTCTTTTAAAGTTTGGAAAACTTAGGTTTATCTGCTGATTTTATAGAAAACGTTCTATTTTCTTACACAGCGTTTTAAAAGTAATAATTCTGTTACAATCTGTATACTTTGTCAAATGTGCTCCTTTCTTACAGTTCTAAATTTACATATAAAGAACTCATGATATAAAGTGATGCTGAGAGGGCTTGGAATGCAGTGCAGTGATAAAGCGTTTGCATTAGTCTGCTTGAGGTCTTGGGTTTGATCTGTTTTCATGAATGCAATTTTTAAGTTTTTTGAAGTTGAAATGCTTATTTTGTTTCCATGCCTTCCCTTGCTTTCATTAGGACAAGAAAATCTTATACTTAACATTAAATGAATTTTTTAATCTTTATTAAATGTCAGATTCCTCACTGGTAAAATAGCAGTCAATAGCTGGAAAAAAACTTTTATCATGGTCCTCAGAATAGTTACTAATGAATTTTTAAAAAGTATTTAGTGTCATATATTTATTAAAGTATTAATAAGTTATTACTAAGGTATAAGTAGTTAGCACACTGGAAGAAATATATCCAGCTTACTGCAGGTTAAAGATGTAGTTGTGACGTGAGATTAATAATGCAGTGAGGACACAATGGACAGAAGTTTGGTAAAATGTAAGGGTCTACTATATGCCACTGAAATCTTATGAATGTTGTTCATTAATGTAGTCAATATAATTTAATTATTTTCTCAAGTGATTTAATAATTGTAAAATATTTTAATTTAGATAAAATAAAATTATTGTCATACTTTTTTTGATTGCAGCTCCAAGATATTCAATACTTGATAGAGAACATCTGGGCATCCCAGTCTGTGCTCAGTGCCTGGGACGATCTCAATGACCTGGTCATGGTTAGATGGGATAAGTCCTTGGAGTGGTCCCCTTGGAATTGCATTCTTCTCACCAAAGATGAAGCAGCTGCTCATCTCAAGCTAGAGAGTATTGAAAAGGTAAGAAGTTAGACTTTATTTGGGAAGTTAACTTAGTCATTGGAATTATATGTAACTTGGTTAGTTTTGTAAAGGCATTCCATGGGTGATCTAAGTGCGTCCACTGGATTAAGAGATAGAGTTTATGGGTTAACAGTAACAAAATATGTGGATGGTATGTATCACAGAGATTAAAATGAAAAGGGAGAGATGACACATAACAGGTAAAGAGATATGAGTGTCTTAAGTATCTAAGTGACACCACAGTCTTCTACTAACAGCAAGTTTAAGCACGTAAATTGCACAGTGAGTTCCATCAAGGCAAGGACGGGTTTCACTTATTTGCATTTATAGGTCTAATACATACATTAGTGGCCGTCATAAAATAGAAGTTCAGTGCATATTTTTGAACAATTAATGAGTATTACCACCACATAGGTATTTGGAATCCAGAATCTGTCCTTCTTTGATTAATCCTCATGAGTCTACCTAAAATCGCTCCATTGTCAATTGACTGTCTTTCATAACTTTGTGTGCCACATGACAATCATACTGATGAAGCATCGTTTTTAATTTAATTCCATCTAAGTAGGAGTGGAAGAAGTACTGCAAAAATTAAATGCTATTTAATTTTAGTAATTTACAAGATATGATCTGTAAAACATTTTGATGAACAAAATTGAAAAGTCTCTGAAGAATCTGTAGAGAGCTCCATTTACTCAAAGCACGCTTAGGATCCCAAGGACTGATATTAGTTCTCTGCCTTCAGTGGATAAAACTGCTGCATCTTCAATTCCATGCAAGATGCCAAAAAATAAAGAAATAAAATCATGTAGTGGCAATTTTGAATACTAGTATTCCCTGCCTAGTGTTATTTATTTTATTTATTATTTGGAGAGGGGATGTATAAAGAGAAGGCATTAGTTAAATTTTATTCTTATTTTAAATAATTTTTTAGAGTTTTAAGAGGCCAGCCAAAAAAGTTTCACTCTAGGGATTGAAAAAGGACAGCAAAAAAATTGAAGCTGTGTTAAATGTTATACTTAGTAAACTAAGCTGCCTCATAAATATTTTATCACTAGAAGCCAAGCCAATTCTAGCAATATCATTTCATCTAGGATTCACAATGAGATTGAAGTTCATTCCCAAAGCTGATATTCCAGTGCTTCTTCAATCAATCCAGACAACTCCCTCTGTGCATTTAATCAAATTACTGCTATATCAAATTAAATGTTCTATTCACATGCATTTGTAGCTTCCAAGATGCCAATCTCTCTGAATTTCTGTAAATAAAGCAAAAAGAAACAACCAAACGCCTAAAAAATTCTGCACTTTGTATAGTTTTGGCCTGATATACTCTTTTAAGTATCAATATTCAGTCCAGTTAAACAATAGCTTATGTTTTACAGTGAGTATTCTGGAATTTCCTCACTACACAAAGATATTTGCTTTCCCATCAAGTAAAATATACATGAAATTTAAAATAATCTTGATTCCTTGCAATCTCACAAGTTACAAAAAAAGGCATGGAGAAAGATATCTGTCCTGTGAGCTCACTAAGTGATGCAGATCAGTCTCTCACAGTGAACACACTGAGCAAGGTAGGAGCAACCATAGACCAAAAGTCAGCAGTTCCCACCCAATTCTAACAAGCTGCAGGACATTGCAACCTCCCCTGTTTGCTTCCTCAACTGTTTTTTTTAGAAGATTAGTTAAAAATGTGGAATCAGTAATTCATTTCTTACATTATATCAAACTCTCCTATGGAAAAAAAATTAAAGATGATTGATAAGTAAATCTTTCTAATATTAAAAACCTCAATCTTTAAAAAGCTTTCCTGTAAACTTTAGCTAAATGTATATATTATATATATATGTTACATTAAGAAAAATCATTATAGTACAAAACACATTGCCATTAATCCCCCTCAAACTACTTCCCTCTCTCTTAGAGTTCACACTTACCCATCTCATTGTTCTGGTTACTTTCTGCAGTAGTTCTCTGCAGAAATCCTCTTTCATGAATGTCTTTACTAAGTGTGATAAAGAAATATGTAAATGCTGCTGCCAATAGCCATCCAACAAAATGGCAAGCTTATAAAAACAGTAGAGTGTGTCTTCTTCTCCTTTAGTTTGTAGATCTTGTGCTGTGCAACTTCTGACTCTTCCCAGATCAAAATGACTTGAAAGGTAAACACTTTCAATTGATTCAGGATATTAAAGTAACAACAGTACCATCAGACAACAAAGAGGTCCTTGAGAATACCTTCAGAAAGTAGCAAACATGATGCAAGAAGGGTATTTAAAGGAGTGGAAGTACTTTGAGGGGGATAAACGGCAATGTGGCTTTTAATGTAATAAAATTTTCAAGGTTTTTAATGCATAAAATGTTTTCTGATCACCTCTCACACATACACATACATATATTTATGAAAACTTGTAATCAGTTACATGATCACTCTTAGTTCAAATACAGCTAAAAAGGTGTGCACATCCTACTCTGTACAAATGAAATTAACTATGAATACAAATGAAGTTAAGAATGAATATGTATTGGATGAATACTTCCAGTGGTTTTGATTTAGAGAGTTTGAGAGAAGCCTTCCAAGTGGAAACATAGGAATTTAGTCTTAAAAGACAATATGCAAAGTAAGAAAAACAATGAATTTTGGGCTGAATGAACTGATAAGCAAAAACACTGAGATGAGACAGTTTTGCTCAGCATATGTATCTGTGACTTTTAATTAGGATTTGTTTTTCTTTCCTTTGCAGGGATATAAACCTCTGTTTGTTCACAAAGTCAAACACAAACATATTCTGGCTAAGAACTACTTCTGTCAGATCCCAGTGCTGGCATCATTTATAGTTGATGATGGCGAAATAGAAGAGATCAGAAGTAAATATCATGTGGATACAGCACCAAAAATTATACAGATCCAGAAGTCCTGTCCTTAGAGGATCCAGAAATATTTGTTTGATGATACGAAATTTTGTTCACTGCTGATAGAGTAATACAGAGTTCACATGATATGGAAATTTTTTCTGGTTTTTTGTAGTATTATAAATTATATGAAGAGAAAACAACCCTATATGGATAGTTGATTGTTAGGCAGTTAAGTGTTAAGTTGAACTGCAGTATCATTACTGAAATTAACAGGTAAAAGAAGACATTTTATTTTTACATATTTCCCACACTTAAATTTTTTAAACATTTAAATCTTTATACTTAAAATAGAAACATAAAGCAATCCTACTCCCAACTTTCAATATAATTAATCTCTTTAAAATAAAATATAATTGCAGGAGAGTAGTTAGTATAAGAATGAGAAGAAATGTAGAGTTCTCTCTTGAAAACCTGTACATGTAGGTTAAAAGACTATATTTTAGTGCATGGATTTGAATATTTGCCTTTTATTCTCTGCATTAGCCTTGTACCCTTCTCATATTTCAATAAAACAACAAAAACTATTTTAAAAAAACACCAAAATCTTCCTTCTATGCTAGGAGGCAGGATAAACTGTGGAACTCTTGTCCTGTGAGGAGAGGAAGCTCTCTGGGGCAACACTGAAACTATGCCAAAAGAATAAACTTGATCAAGTCAACTATAATAACATCCTTCTCAATAAACCAAGGAATAACCTTGACTATGAATCTGCCAGGCACCTGTGATGGTGAATAATGGTGACCAATTGGTCTTAACAGGAAAGAGATGGCACACTCAAACAGCGTAAATCAAGAGTGCTTTATTTACAAAAGGGCTTATCTTAAATTGTGTGCAGTATGTAAACTAAAGGAATAGCATAGGCATTCATAGCTGATATCTTATTTGCCATAACTGCCTCTGGTTTTAAATAAACTTGGGGAGAGAGAAGTCTGAGAACCCAGAAATATAGGATAAAGTAGATAATTATGATCAGTGATGAGTTGTCAAGGGAACAGCCAATCTTGGGGAAACAGAAAAAAAAAATACCCAATTTCATCCATCTTCCTGCTTCTACTCTCCTGCTTGGGTTTCCCATTGGCAGAACCCAAAAGGAAAGCAGAAATCATAATTCGTATGGCTTCCAGAAAAAGAGCAAAGTAGAAAAAAGGTGTAGTAGATTTGGAGGGCTAGAGAGTAGCTAGCCAAGGAAAGAATGCAAAATGCAAATCTACCAATAGAAAACAGACTGAAAAATTCTTTGGTTTTGATCAGTTTTGTACTATTTTGTTTTTTTTTTTTAATTCATTGTGTGTGAAGATATGGACAACTATTTAGAAGAAAACAAGAGACATTATGGTAAAAATATGCAAATCTATCGTTGAAATAATGGCATATCACTCACAACGTAATTATAGAAAGACATATAATAATCCTTCTTTTAATTCTAATCAGTAAAGAATGAGGATGGTGACTAAAAAATTCAAACTAAATATTCATATAAATATTTCACAACATTTTAGCAACTCATTTTTTAGGATGTCTACATTTTTTTCTTTATGTAACAAAAGTATATCCCTGGCAATTGTTCAAGACGTAAACATCCAGGACAAAAGTGTTATGATGCTGTTATTTTTGTAGACAATCCAGACATTATGGAAACTTTCCAAACAACAGATTATGTATGGAGCCAGAATAGGAACTGTTTTCCCCACTGGTCAATGAACAATAATTTGAAACAGATACATACAGATTTACACTACATGTAAAATAATGGATTTTCACAGTAAAGTTCAGGAGAATTTGATAGCCCTGAGAAAGAAGGGCTGGAGAGATTGTGTGTGTGTGTGTGTGTGTGTGTGTGAGAGAGAGAGAGAGAGAGAGAGAGAGAGAGAGAGAGAGAGAGAGAGAGATAAGGTGCATGCACAGAGTAGCCAGACATGGACAAATAAAGGATTTTAAGAAATACCTTCTTAACCCACAGATAAGCAGCTAACTAGACAATTTACTCATAAAAATAAAAGATTTGTGGAATAAAACTAAGAAGAATGAATAGAAACTTTAAGGCTTGAAGCAAAGATAAGACTTGTAATATTTATTGCTTCTTTATGTTTCTTGATTTGCTTTTAGTGGCAGTGTTTCTCAGCCTAAAACCACAGATTCAGTTGTGTAGTCATCTCCGATAATAAAACTCTAAATTCTGGAAATCATACTTTTCCTCCTTAAGCTTACAAGTTAGTAGCATCTTCATGTAGCTAGCGTTGCTTTTTCTTGTTGATTTTCTTAGGTCATATTCTCTTTTTTATGAACAGTCTTTTTATTAAATGCTTCTCAAAATAAGCAGCTTGTGTATACTAAGGAGTTCCTGCTGGACCCAAGTAGAAACAATAATTGGCCCCAGGAACTGTCTTAGGAAACTGGCCTGAAAATGAACTCCTATGCATAGATTGCTTACGTATTTGAATAGCATATGGATAACATCCTTATCTGGGGGTGGGAGGAGGGAACAGGACAATGGCACCATGTTGCATTTGGTAGCATCATACTCAAATTATCACCAACAGTGGCACAGTATGGAGTGCAGATGGAGAATAAAAAGCCAGGATATCCGATGGTTGAAACAATTAGTCACTTTCATGACGTGGATTGTGGTATGGGATAAGTATTTCTTATTTTAGAGAGAATTCATTTTTAAAAAGATTAAATTGAAAGCCTTGAATAGTAATGTAAGACTCTAATAATAACTCAGCCTTTATGATAGCTGTAAGAAATTCCTTATCTCATGTATATGCAGGGAAGATATAGTTGAGGATTAACTCTGGAGCTTAATTGTAAAAATTTCAGGGCTATATTCAGCTACATTTGTACTTTTAGATTTCAGACTAATATAATGATACTGGTGAGGAAGAGCAAAGGGTGGTCTGATCTGAATCAATCTGCACCTGAAGAGCATGTAGAACAAAAGATTCTAAAGGTATTAGACAAAAAACTGAAGTGGATAATTATATTCATCCAATTTTATGTTATTTCCTAGAATTCAGTTTTTAACATCTTTGAAGTCTAAAAAATTGTTGGATATCTACACAGAAGACTAGACTCACTAGAGGCCAATACCTGTGTGTTTGAGATGCTAGAGTTTAAAGCAGTAATGACTCAGGCAGTTGAGGTGGGTCTACCACATTCACCCTTCTCTGACACTTCCTAGAGATGTTTAGTAAGGCACAGAAATTAGGAAATGCCTTGATGATGCTTTTCAGCACCCTTGAAAGTCTCAATGATGGCTGATCCCTGAAGTCTTAACATGACAGTAGACACACTGAAATAGAATTTGATAACCTAGAACAGTGGAAACAATATGATCTCAGATGTTAGAAACCAGGAGGATGAAGCTTATCTATCAGAAGAAAAAGGTGGAGAATGTGTAAGAAACTTTATAGACAAAAACATCAAAATACAACAAGTGCTGGTGAAGGTTGCAGATAATTGGAACTTTTGTTCTTACTTGTGGAAATGCCAAAAGCAACCGCTGTGCAAAGTAATATGAAGATTTCTCAAAATTTGAAAGTAGAACCAGCATATGATCCAAAAATCACATCTCTAAGTATCCAAAATAATTGAAATTAGAATCTCAAGCAGATATTGGTACTCCCATGTTCAGTGAAACAATGCTGACAACAGCCAAAGTAAGAGAACCGCTGAATGTTCATAGGTAATGAGCAGATTTTTTTGTGTATACATACAAAGGAATGTTATTCAGTTTTCAAAGAAGAAATCCTGGAATATGTGACATATGGGTAAACCTTGAAGACATTATGTGTGCTAAATGAAATAAGCCTGTCAAAAATGTCAAAGGCTACATGATGCCATTTCTAAGAGGTACCTAAAATAGTCAGACTTGAGGAATTGTGGTTGCCATATGGTTAAGGATACCTGAAAGTGTTGATCAGTGGGTTCAAAATTTCATATATTCAAGATGAATGAGCTCTAGGGATTTTCTGTTCAATGTTGTACTTACAAAAACAGTGATAGTTTGTACACTAAGTATTTTTACTACAGTTTTAAGAAACCCTCAGACAGAATCAAATGACCCTGTAGGGATTTATATCAATGATACATGATCATTTATAATAGCAATAGTCAAATCTTCAGGAATGAAATACATAGATGTACTAGTTTTCTGGGGCCGTCATAACAAAGCACTACACATTTAATATCTTAAAACAACAGAAATGTATTTTGTCATAGTTCTGCAGGACAGAAATTCAAATTTAATGTGTCGGAAGAGCTTCCCCCTTCTGGACTCTATTGGAAAATCCTCCCTTGTCTTAATACCATCTGGTGGCTTTAAGCACTCCTTGGCTTGCTGGGCTGTATGACTCCAGCCCATTTCTGTGGGCTTATTACTTTCTTCTTTCCTTTCCTTTCCTTCTTTCCTGGTCTGCACCAGAGAGCAGTATTTTTGCTTACCAACCCTCACAGCAAACTTCTTCTCATCTACACCCTCACAATAAGGCATGAATTTCAGCCTCAAATCTGACATTCTTCCAAAATATTTTCCCTTTATCTGTCTCTACCAGAGCAATAGCGTGATGCCCACTACATTCACTGTTCTTGTAATTTTTAGAATTCTCTTTACAGTGGCTCATCTCTTGTTGCTAGTTAAGAATTATTTTTCTTAATTTATTTTAGAGAGCATAAAACCAAGCAAAATGAAGCAGAATAAAGCCAATCAAAACAAACCAGTGTGACACAGTATTTCAAAATGAGATCACAGGAAACCAATAATGGTTACCATAATACGTGTTGTTGCCTTCAAAATAGTTGCTCATACCTTCAGACATAGTAAAATCAAACAAAGCAGAAGCAGAATAGAATTAATAAAAATAAAACAATGAATGCAATACAGGACTTAAAACAAGATAATAGTAAATCCAAACTGGCTACCATAATAGATAATAGCTTCCCATGCCATCAGATACAATAAAATCAGACAAAATAAAACAGAATAAAGTCCAGCCAAGCAAAACAATGAGAATGATACAGGATTTCGATACAAGATAATAGGGAATTAACAATGGCCACTACCTCCAGAAGGAGATTTCCCACATATGCTACATTGCGTATTGTTATCCTCTAATAGGTGATCAGACTATCGGATTTTGGCCTCCAAAGTCAGTGAAACACTAAGCACTACAAGCGTTAAGTTGTATTTTATCTCATTAGCTATCATCACAGCCTGTGTTTCTCTGGATCAGCTGGTTGCTTATGGGGGCTGCAGGGTGAGGAACATTGGCTCTTTTTGTCTTCTTGTCTCCCTGCCCACCCACCAGAGGGAGCTGGCATCTGGCTCTCCCCCAGTCAGCCTGTGCTTGGCGCCACTCACAGGAGGTCTTGGCTTCTTGTTGACTGACTCTTTCTCTTTCCTCACAGTCTGTGAACGGCGCCAACTCCCAGGAGAAGGCTGGTGGTGTCTGATTTTCCCCCAGTCAGTTTTTTTTTTTATTTTAAAGAGAATAAAAACATAAAAATGATACAGAGTTTCAAAACAAGATGTTAGAAAATTAACAATGGTTATTATATTGCATATTGTCTTCAAAATAGTTGCTCAGATTACCAGATATAGGCGTGCAAAATTGATCAAACAATATAAGTACTTTCTTTCAATGAACTAATAGAATGAGTAGTACAGTTACCTTAATTATTTTCTGTATATGAATATTTTCCCCTCCCTTTTTTTCCTTTCCCTCATCCTACTTCCCTCATCCTAATTGTTCTTTCCTTTTGAGCAGTTTCTTTCCCTTTCACAGTATTTGTTGCATGTGTAAGCATCGTATTGTCTCCCTTTGTAAGAAACTGAAAGAGTAAATAAGATCCAAAAGAGAATTCTCTATGTAAAATTTCCTTGTTGGAATTATAATGCTATCTTCTCACTGGATATTGACTGATAAAGTTGAGAATATGCAGATTTTCTCTCTATAGTGAGAAAAACTTTGTTTCACTTTGTATCACACACCATAAAGAAAAGCACCGTGTTTACTAGGCTTCTTCGAGTCTGCAGGCAACATAAATCCCATTCAGGTATTGTGCTCTCATCTATTAACCAATACACTTTAAAGCTGCTAGTTGTAGGTGAGATGAAAGCACTATTGGCATACAAGCTTTCTTTCTACTGGGACCACA